GCGTCGCGGGCGCCGCCGTCCGCGCAGGCGTAGCTCCAGCGGCGCCGCCGAGGGCCCGTGCGCATGCGCCCCCGCCGGGCGCGGCGCGGCGAGCCTCGAGGCTGCCCCCCGGCGGTCAGCGGCGCCGTTGCGCCCTTCCGGTGGAAGGGTGGGTGGGGTTCTGTTGCGCGTCTTGTTTGGTTGGTTTTCCCCCGTGTGTCTGTAGGGAAGCCAGAAGGAGGTGCTGGGAACTCTGGAACTGGAGTTCTGGGAACCGAACCTTCGACTGCCAAGGATGACCTTGAACTCTCCATCTCCCGGCCTCTTCCCAGGGATGACAGGCGTGCCCCGCCGTGCCCGCGCAGCTAACTAACCTGTTACTGTACTATCAGTCATCAGTTAGCGGAAACGGATCCAGGTGGACTTACAACTCAACAGTAAAGGCCAACAAGGTGGCTCCGCGGTTGAAGGCTGTTACAGAATCTTAGCAGAACTGCCGCATCTGGCAGGATCTGGAGGATCTGGAGGGGCTTGAAGTAAGCTTCGAAGCAGCCTTCTGTCAGCGCTTGACGTCTAAGATTTTTATGGTCTTATTCCTTTGACCATCTCTTGGAGCCTTTGCATCTCGTAGCCGGTTGGCAGGCCTGGCACGTTAGGAGACTTGCCGCTGTGTGGAAACTGATGTGCTGAAGGTGCCTTCTAAGAACAGTCACGCGCAGGCTGCTCCCTCTGCTGTTCAGGAGCCCGGACTCATCCTGCAGTGGCCCTTCCGCAGACCCTGAGCCACCAACACTGACAAAAGTCACTTTGAGTCCCCAGGAACCCGCATGGAGGAAGGAGTAAACCGACTCCCAGAAGTTACTCTTTGAACGCTCCAGGTGTGTGAACTCAAAGTAAGTGTTCAGAAAAGCAGGGAGCACCACAAGGCAACAGATGTCTCCTCATTCCAGAACTCTGGCGGAGCTGCTCCAACAGACGTCTTGCTGTGTGCTGACAGCCAAGCCTTTCCCTTTCTTGGCACTGCTGTTTTCCCTTGGTCAATTATCGGTTTTCCTTTTTGGACTCTTAAATATCGCTCTTGCCCAAAGTCAGATCCCAAGCTGAGAAAAACCTTTTGGAAACTGAAGAGACTTTAGCTGTCTGGGCATGGCAACATGGCTCCTGTCTGGGCATGGCAACATGG